GACCATCGTGTACAGAAATATTAAGACTACACTCCTCGCGCGTTTGCGCGAATTCGAAGCAAAAATTCTTGTAGAATAAACAAACATCAATATTATGAAAATAAATGTTCTTTTATAATATTATTTCAATTGTCAAAAAGTTGTAATAAGAAATTGTGCTTAATGTACGAGGATCTTAATTTTAAACTTGAGTAATGTCCACCTTCAAATTTTTCATAGTACGCAAATTACTTTGTAATTTGCGTAAAAAGCGAAGGGGCCAGTGTTGAAAAAAATGTGTTATAACTACGACTCAGTATTTCTCTGTAAATGAAACTCTGCGTTACCGTATGTGTGCGTTTGAAAACAATTTTAAAGATTGTAATTATATTACAACCTCACGTTTTGTATAATCTTAGTTTATAATTAATTGGTAAAATTAATTTTATTTATATAGAGATTTATAAGCTAGATTTAGAATTCTATCTTAATAAGTTTTAAATTAAAATATGTTGTTAAATATTATTGTATATAGGGATTTATCTTATAATAGAATATCTTAAACTTGACAAGCAAAAAAGTAATGATTTTACACGAAAAAATAAATTGAAAATGTACAATATATAACTTTTCTATACAAGCCTTCGTTTTCCAAAGAAATAACTTTGAATATTCATCGAAAATACATGTATTTGTGTAATTATAAATATTACATATATGTATCAAAAGAATACTTTAGAGATATAGAGCAAGACCAAGATGTTTACTTTCGAAATTTGATTTTATTATCTTAGAAGTTGTTGAATATACATGTGTTGCCTATTTTATATATACATAATCATGTCTATTAAATTTATATGAATTCTTTCATAATGTTTTAAGAATAAGTGTATAGACTACTTCATGTAGAATCATCGCCTTCTCGCTTGTATCACCAATTCTGGGATACTCTATCTATATATTATTTATATTTTTCATCGATGCATTCATTAATGATACGATTGTTTATTAATTAAAAGTCTTTGAGGAACGTAGAGTTACATTCGAGAAGTTGATTCATAGTATCGGTCTATGATATTAATAATAATTAATTTTATCATCGAAATATTATACCCCTAAATTTAAAATAACTAGCATACTATGTTTTAATCTTTTTCCTTCGTTTGGATGGCCCTGGTTCCCGCACACGGGGCTGACATGACCATTCGTACCTAATTCAGACACTATAACTCGGCAGAAACTTATAAAAATTAAAGATGACAATATATTCCGAACGAAATTAGAGAGCACGTCTGCCTCGGCCAAGCCATCAAACGAAACTACAGATTATAATATGTGCTAGGCAGAAAACGGTGAAACTATAGAGAAACAATTTGTTGAGCTTATTGTTAGTTAATCATTTGTTCAATTTTAAATAGGAAATGTTATGTTATAAAATTAACGTACGTGCGTATCACAACGTCGCGAGATTTAAATCGCAATAACATACAAATTTCATCGAACATAAATGTCAAATGAATTCAGATGTATCATACAGATATATCGATTCTTTAGAAATTAAATTTATTAATCAATGAATTAATCGACGCGATTGCAGCTCGCGACGGAAAATTATTGATACGCAAATTCGTGATATTGTATTGAGCATCGAAAGTGGACATTTTTTGAAAGAGCCTTTCTATTATTTACACACTTACAGAAACGTTTAAGACAATTATATAAAATATATATTTACTTTTGATGCATGAGATATTCGATATTTGTTTGATCGACTACTAATTTGAGTTTCCAATAATCTCAATAGACAAATATTTATAGATACACGATGCTTTCTATCAAAAAATGTCCGTACGATAAAAGGATATCCAATATCCGTGGGGATAACCAAGTCGTGTGGCATAAAGATAAACGTTAACTCTCGAATTAAAATATTTAAAAAAAAAATAAGAAAAAAGAAAATCTCTATAAACGTGTTAGATAAAAGGATCTTTCGACCAGCACTTTTAGGTGCTGCCATGTCTTCCATTATTTGTATATTAATTAATAATAAAATCAACTATAACGTATTACATAAAATATCTTTACGCCTACAGATACACATACATACGCATACAAAAATTACATACACCGAAAGATAATTACGAACTTATCTAATATTATTATCTACAGATAAGGATACGATGTATAATATTACAAAACAAAAAAAAAATGTAAACGCAAAAGGAAATATGGTATTTTCACAGACAATTTTTAAGACGAAGATCATGTTTATTGTTTCTTATATATAAGTTCTGATGAGGTATTATAACTTTGCCATGTTTTCTGAGCGTACGTTACTGAAATATAGTTTGTGTAAAAGTGTATGAGAGAGTTCAGAAGTGCGTTCCATTTCACGCATGATGCGCATGATGTTTATATAATTCTTCTTTAACATTCAATGAGTAACAAGAATGAAATAATATATTATACATATTGTGTGAAAACGAAACGCACTACTGAAGAAGTAAAAGCCCGTTTTCGCAAGCGCAATTAAAATAACGTTTAAAATATATTTACTACTTCTGATTTGCAGAACAAAATTTAGGAACGTCCCAAGATACCTACAGTCAAAATTCATGTGCAAATTTGTACGGATTGTATGATCGCACAATAAAATGCACCTCGAAATCATCGCATCTCTCTTTACTATAAGTACTTAACACTTCAAACAATTAGAGCAAAACAATTAAATTCTATAAATAAAAAAAAAATAATTGAATTCTATAAAAATTATAAAAAAAATAAACTAAATTTTGTTTCTTATTTAATTTAAATATAAAACTGGTAAAAATTTTTCTTAAATTTATTTACACAATTTTTCAGAATTTGTATATAATTTTTGTAATCTTTCAAAAAATTTCTCAAATTTTTTATATAAATTGGAACAATTTTCTTGAAAGTTTTCATATAACGTTTCAAAATTTTTATATAAATTTAAAAATTATCACGATTCTTATATAATTTTTTAATTTTTTAACATTTTTTTTAGAATTTTTATACGAATTGTAACACTTCAGAAATGCTAAGAAAATTTATCTATCTTTTTTTATAATTCTTTGTATATGTAAATTCTAAAATATATATATTCTAAGATTCTTCATTTTATAATTTCCAAAACAAAACTTATATAAAACTTGAAGAAAGTTAAAAAAGAAAAATATTTTTTTTAATCTTCACAAATTTAAAATATAAAAAATATATAAAAGTACTGCATAAAAATTTTTTTAATGAAAAAATTTTAACGAATATAAACATTCAATTTGAAAGTTAATTAAAAGAAAAGATTAAAAATAGATTCAAACGATATAAGTTAAAAAATAATCATTACCTTTACTAATTAACACTAGTTAGATGTGTTTTTAATTGAAAGAAATAAGAATTAAAATAAATTATATTTTTCCATTGTGTGTGCATTTGCACTAAAGGAAATCTTCAATAAAATTCTAAATTTACCGAGTGATGTATCAGAAAGTATAATTAGTGCGATGATTTCGAGTAATACTTGTTTTTTGGAGAATCTAAATATTGTACACAGAGAAACAGCAGTATCATAATAATCCGCGTTATTTTTGCGTTTTGATCACAAGATAAAAGTCTGCTTTGTATTTTGAAAAGGTATTTGTAAAAAAATAAGGTAAATTTTTAGGTAAGAGAGGTAAAAATTTTAGGTAATTTTAAGATGGCTATTTTTTTAATACAAAAACATATTTTAATTTTTATCTTTAATAGTGTTATATTGATATAGTTTTTCCGCCATACTGAAACAAAATTTAAAATACGTTTTTTGCATTTTAAAAATGACCATTTTATCCAAGTTTACCTAACTGTAAGAATTATTACAAAGAGAAGAGCTGGATGATTCGATAGCCATTTTAAGAAGTTTTTGTTAACTTTGAATTGATTTTTTCACTTCGATTTCTTGTTTCTTGAACAATGTATCATATCATATTATAGGGATCGATATATAAGAAAAAGCTATGAAATAGTTTTTGATATATGAAATTGCGAAACAAAGAAAACGGGATGCGCAAACTATCGCGATCTAGCGTACGTACGTGCGCATACACTATAGTTCTATCGACAATTTACAGATCTTCATTTTGTACAATATATATATATAATCTCTAGATAAAAGAGAGAATGAGAGCGCGAAAAGAGTATCTACTCAAAATAATAAAATTCGTGTTATAGTTGGCGGTAAGGACAGACATTCCGTTATATATAATATGACCATATAATGTACGTTACATCATAACGCGCTTTAACAATTTGAAGAGAAAAAAAAAACTTGTCAAATAAAACCCTTTTACTTGATGTATTTATTAAACGTAAATACAATGACGTCTATAATATATTGCAATAAAAAGAACTAAAACCACTCATGAGACTATAGTTCTTTTCTTTTGTGTACAGAAAAACGGAAAAGAAGAAAGGGAAACGAGGAATAGTGTAATAGATAAAAATAGTACATTTGAACTTATACAGATTTACTTTTTGCTTAATGCTATTTTATAGAAAACGAGTATTATAAAGATAAAATATTAATATTTAAATAAAAGTACGTATTTGATAAATGTATATCTAGGAGATTATACATATCTCACCGATTGAAATGCCTTTAGATTTGTTGTAGGGATAAGTTTTGATTCTCCACAAGAATTATTAAATAGATGAGTAGTAGACTGGTTTAGAGGATATAATAAATAAAAGTTTCATAATCAAAGAGAGAGAGAGAGAGAGAGAGAGGTTTTTATGAAAAATGTTTATTTTATCGTTTAAATATAACACATGTATAAAACATAAATATTTTATTAATAAAATATAAAGTTTGGAAGTCGAGAGCAAGATAATTAGATATATGCTAAATATAATTGATGTATGTAGAACAGGCATTCCACAATAAAGTCGGAAGTCGTAAGCAATAAGAAATGAACCAATCGTGGTCGATTATTTTTGTCATATTCAACAGGGGTACATTCCAAAATTCGACTCCGTCAGCCCGAGTATCATTTTATCTTTGTCGGTAAGCGTGTACAGAATAGGCCCCCAGCAGTGTAGTCAACAAACCACATAATTTCCAGTCAAGGTGTGAACCCGCCCTTACAACTATAGATTTACGCAATTGTAGATCAGGCTTTTGCAATACGTCTCAAATAAGTTTTATGGGACTCTAACCTTAACGTAGAAGATTCGTTTATTTTGAACAAAAACTTGTTGAATGAGACTAATTGAATCGATTTTTGAGGTGGCGTGGCTAAAGTAAACAATTGCCACCAAAGTTAATAATATTACCTCATGATTTAATAAATAAATCTGTAGTGAATCTCGCATTTCTCCGACTTTTTAGTCAGTATGACAATTATCTTAACCTCTAAAGTCTTAAACTTTAATGCTTCATAACTTGTTTCACAAGCTGTTTGACCGCCGCGTTCTTCCGTTAATTCTTTCGTTTTCGAAAAACATATCAAATAAATATATTTTTATTAAGATTTGAGCTGAGGAAGCGATTTTATGTAATTACCACATATACATATCTAATGTATGTATAATATATATATATATATATCTCATACATACATTAAATATATATATATATACACTATTGTATTACAGCAAGAATATATTACAAGTGTAAAAGATGTTACCAACAATGTCAAAGGATTCGGAGATTAAAGATGGAGAAAACAAGAATCTGATTAAGATTGTAGAACGGCCAACATTTATATTAAAGACTAGAGAAGGAGAAAATAGAGCTGTTTCTCCAAGTCAACGTAATGGTCACAAGTATAGTACTATTGAATAATTATAATATTTAAATCATACATCCATCTATTATATATCTGTTATACATAATACAACCAGATATTTTCGGTTATATACAATATTTCATGCACCATCTTATATTTGTATATGAATATTGAGAACAGGACCTACACATTTATATTTTCATTCAGAGAATAATTATTCAAACAATCTATCATAGTATGTTACATTTATTCTGAATCATTCTACATATGATATATACATAACAAAAATCTTTTTATAGAAAAGATGCCGATATGTCTTCAGCGGCACCATCAAAAATACAAGAATGTAAGTACCTTGTATTTAATGTAAAGGACATAATAAAAAAATATTTCAGATGAAAGTTGAACGGTTTTGAGGGGGATGTATTTTAGTCATATTATTTTTTATCTTGGAAGTACTAAGAATATGTGAAGGTTACCTCTACTTTTTAAATGAAATTACGTGACTTTTTTTTACATATTACTATTTCTTTAACAATTTTGCATATAAAAATATAAAGGTACAGATATTAAAAAACCAATAGTTTACGAGATATTTCTGACATATCTTGATATAAAATATTATATATCGTAATTATTAATTTTTTTATTATCGTGCCTTGATTCTTTTATGAACAGAATAATGAGACGAATCGATTGGTGTAAAGAAAACGCTTATTTAAACAACTATGTGTTTTATTTATTATTTTATTTAGAGAAAAAGAAAAAATACATGCCTTGCTCAGAAACATATGTGTCTTACTTAAACTATGTTTATTTAAGCAACTAAGTCTCAACACTTGTTAAAGAAAAAGTTTTTATTAAATTAAACAAAAAATTCGTGATTAAAAGAATATCTCAAATGTAGACTACGTACAGTATATCAATATTTCAACGTATTTAAAAAATTAATAAGATGTGAAATATGATATCGATTGCAATAGTAGGCTAATATTTCATTTATAATACAAAATTTTCTAGCATATTGATTTATTATAAGATGGAGGATTTCTAGAAACTCTAGAACTTTTCTATCTTACAGCCAGTCAACTTAAAAAATTTGTCGTACAACAAATGAAATAGCCTAAGAATAAAAATGATATTTCAGCGATTCGTATGCTTTCCATATGTCCTGAAATGAATACATGCATCAAGTTCATGGATGAAAATATGCAACTATGTGAAAATACAATAGATTTTTTACATGATCAACAAGACTTTTTAGTCGTTGGATGCTTAGGTGCACAAGGTGTTGGTAAATCAACAATCATGTCACTGCTAACATCACATTACTCGTATGTATTATATTTATTTGCAATATATGTGATATCAGATTTTTTACTGAAATTAATGTTATTTAAATAATTTTGTTTTATGGTTAGATCTAACATTTTTCCAGTTCAAGATTTGTCACATTATGAAAATAGTACAAATTGTACCACTGGAATAGATTTCTTTATAACTAAAAATAGGGTAATATATTTGGATACACAACCAATTCTTTCTGGATTTGTGATTGACTCTGCTGCATCCTTTGATCAGAAAAAAGGTGCACCTGATTTTATGAATAGTGATTCTAACTTGGAATTACAATCACTTCAGTTTGCAGCATTTCTATTTTCAGTGTGCCATGTTATCATATTTGTACAAGATTGGTTTGTCGATCCAAATTTAGTGAGGTAATATTATAATAGAAAATATTTATTAATTTGATTGTAATATATAATTATTTTTGTTATTATAAAATTTACAATATATAATGGAGTACCTGTTTTTCTTGTAGATTTTTACAAACTGCAGAAATGTTAAAACCATCTTCAACAACAGTCATAGATCAAGATTATGTAGAATATTATCCACACCTTATATTTTTACATAATAAAGCAGAATTGCAAGATTTTATGCCAGCTATTATTGATGAAATGAAGGTATTTTATCACATATAATATGTTATCGATTTCAAAATATATCTTATCTTTTATGACAACTGAAATATTTAAATGATATTTTAAAGTTTCTTTCATGCCATTTATAAATAAAGAGAATTTGGAGTAAAACAAAATGAGATCGTTTTAAAACATTCTGATTGGTTCATGACATCGTAAGACTGTATTTAAGACGATGTTAATTCTTAAATATAAAAATCGATTATAAATATTGGTTTTGATCATATTTTTAGTTTTATCTTTTCCATTATTCTATTTTTAATTATATTATATTGTATTTTTAATCTAAAGTTCTATAAATTTAATTTGTTCCTATATTTTTTCTATCGTTTGATTTCTATTACATTATGGAAACAATTCTGTCTTCTTATTGTCTTTTTAAATTGCTTTGCGATTAAGTTCATATAACGTTTTATTTTAAACAGCGTTTTTATTTTATACAACAAACTATTAAAATGTAAATTAACACTGAAAAAGAAATTAAGAATAGAAAAATTAGTCTCATAAATATATTAATCATAATATATAGAAACTTGTTTATATTTGAGTTTGCTATTTTTAAAATTATATTTTTACTTTTTTCAGGATTTTTATAATAAAGTATTTTCTAGTTCTCGACTACAAATTCATAGTGGTATAGATATGAATCATTGTTCGACAGATAGTGGTTTAAATTTATTTTTGATACCTTCGAGAACTAGACAAGGTAAAAAATTATTTTAGATCATTTATTTAAAATTATATATTAATATTTAATATGTATTTAATTATATTTATATTGCAGAAGATATAATTTTTTGTGAAAATGAAGAATTTCTTATAGACAAACTGCGAACAAGGATATATGGAGTTCCTAGGAATTCGATTACACCTTCTGTGTTAACAGAAAAAAATTGGTAATTAGATATTTTAAGATTTTCATATTTAATCAAATACTAAATTATTTAATTTATTCTTCATCTCACTTTGATTCCTATTTGTATTTTAATGATTTGATTATTACATCGATAGAATATAAATAAAATCTTTAGAAAAAGTAGAGATAAGAATACACAATTTTATTTTTTTCAAAAAAAGAATACAAGAAATCTTTATTTTATATATGCATAAAATAATGCACATATTATCGATAGGTATCATTATGTTTCAAAAGTCATAGAAGTTATAAAGAAAAGCCATCTGTCTTCTGAATATGGAAGATTAATGCCTTAAATCTAAAAATTTATATGAAAGAAGAATGTAAAAAGAAATGAAGGAAGAGATATAATTAATCCACTTTATTATATGATGTATTATTTTTATAAATTATAATTTTAAATTAAGAAATATGTAGATGTATTCATTATGTACTATTGAAATATGATGTAAAATTAAATTATTAAAGACTTTCAAAAATAATAGAATTTGCATTTGACATTTTTTATTTTGCTCATCGCTAATATTTGCATTTTTATTAATCCTCCTTTCCGCTCCTCTCTCCCTTCCTTTTATTTTAAATATTATATTAAATATTATAAATATATTTTTTAAATAAAAGAAATTATTTTTGCAAACGCGATCTTCATCGTTTGAATTTCTTCATGAATAATCTTCTTGTTCGCTGTCACCTTGTTGCATAGATGCCATTTGTGTAACAGCTTGTAATTGTTGCCACTGTTGCTGTTCCGCGACTGCCTGTTCCTCTCTTGCTTTAGCAAATAACTCCTGTTGTTGCCGTAATAATTCTTCTTCTGGAATACCCAAATTCTCTAATCTGGTACTTTGACGTCTTCTTTTAGCCGCAACAGCTTTGCAATCTCGCAATACAGCTTCTGCTTCTGCGTTGTAATCACCAAAACCCAATTTGTCAAGTGCTTGTAGAACATGTTCTGCATTTATAGTCTTCTTTTGTTGTTGATTGCAAATTTCATTTGCTTCGGAAGACAACAAGTGAATGAATTCTGTACAGCAGTTCAAAATAAGCTCTCTGGATTCGTTTGCCACTCGCACATGAGGTAATATTTCCTTGATTATTTTGTTAATTGATGCTCGAGGAAGAGTAAGCTCGTCATCATCAGTTGGTGACATTGCAGCCGAGGCCATTTGTGTAATTTCTGAAATTTTAAGTAAGAAAATCTTGAAGATTTGCGTACGTGCGTGCGTGCATTAAGTATGATTTATAATAAATATATATGTATATTAATTTTTATTATTAATAAAAGTAAATTTCGTTAATTACAATCATTATATACTTTGAATTAATTATTGTATATTTCTAACAATTTTTATGATTTTTCCATTATTCCATTAAATAATGTAGCATTTTTACAATGAAAAGATCGTTTATTATTTTATAACAGAAATTCTTATGATTCTTCCGCACTTACGATTATCAGATAAGAGTTACCAGATATGCGTTTTAAGATAAGTCCTACTTGAACTTCGAAATTGAAATCACAGTATTATTGATCAAAGTAGACATCTTGTTCTTCAATGCATTACAACAAAAATATAGGATAGTATAAAAATGTAATATATCTCAATTATTTAGAAATTAGATATATAAAATGAAATGTTTATACAGTGTAAATATATTTTAATATATGATATAATTATTGTGTTGCTTTTATATTCTAATATAATATATGCAACAAATGCAAAAAATGTAACAAAATTTGCTGGCATTGTGGAAAATATTACAGTGTACGTTTTAGAAGACGAAAGTTATTTCAAAAGCAATAGTATACTAAAACCATTGAAATTGAATGTATCTTGGACGCCACCAAATGGAAAAAAAGAACCTTCTTCATACAGGTACATTTTTAATTAATACTTTCTAATAATAATTATCTATAAAGATTATATAAATAAAAAAAAATTCAATGTGTTATAGTGTTATGGTTACAAGTATGCTAAAAGAAACTCATGTAAATACGGAATGTACGAAAGGTTCCGCGTTCTACAATGTGCAAAATAAAAGTCGATTTAGCATATTAGTACCACCAGATAAATTACTGAATGATATATCGGATTTACAAATACATCCAAATTGTACGTATAAAATCCAAGTGTATGCCAATCCGAGAATTAAACCTTTAGAAAAGTTACCACAGGTAAAATTATGAGAATTAACATTATAAAAAGACATTACACATAGAATATAAAATTTCCAAGATGTTTTCTGTTCTATAGGTCATCTATAGAGTTCCAGAATGTATAGGACATAAATGCAGTTGCGCGGATGCAAAATCTATTTTGCCTATTCCAAAGGTAGAGGCAATCCAAGCAAGACAATGTGTAGTTATTAACTGGAACATTACGTCGAATAATTCTCACATTCATTCTTATGTAATTAGGTGAAATTTTTTTTATTTTAGTCTATTAATTTGATTGTCATATCGTTTCGCTTAAATGATGATGCAATATGTAATATTTTAGTGTTGGCATGCCATTATTTATATCAAAAGCAGGACATTCGGTGTATAATATCACAAATATAAGTAATGTAACCTCTACAATAAATACCTTTAATTGGGACATGAGAATTGATGATCAGTATATAAAAGTAAAAAATGGATACAAAATATTGGTAGCTGCAATGGATTATCGAAATTGTTTAGGAGCTCAAGGTGGTTTCACTATTGTTGATATAAGCAAAACTAAAATATTGGATAGGAGTACTATGGTATAAATAAAAATATGTATTAACAATTAATATATATATATA